GTCTCCTGAGTTTGAGATTTATAAAAAATTCTCTAAGCTCAGGAATCTGATTGGTCAGAAACTCCCACCAGAATGTACACTGACCAATTAAAATCCTCGAGACAAGAATCAGGAAACAGTTATATAACCTTGAGATGGCTACAGCATCTAAACATATAACAAGTCATCCAAGTTCATCCAGAAACCTCAGGCAGTACATATTTTGGAATTTTTCCCTTAAAGCAGCCACCTCCAGATACATGCTGATTTTCATGAAAAATTTGAAAATTAATTATAAAGTATCAAATTGTGAAGTAAACAACAGAAGCAATTAACACATTATCAATGGCACTTACATTACCAAAAATAGATAAAAATAAGCAAAAATAGCCTTAACTGTGTTAGTAACGAAGTAAAAATATAGCTATAAATACTGAAAAATCGGTCATTAATTGAAAATACAGTCTAATCCACTTATAATGAGATTGGTTTTAACGAGATACAGCTTACAACGTACATTCTACTGTGTCCCGGCCTTTTCCCTTCTATTTTCCTTTCATTTTTTATCGTTTATAACGAGATCGGTTTTAGCGAGATATCGGTTACAACATACATTATTTCGCCGTCCCATGCGTATTTTTCAGAATTTTAACGAGGTCACTTCATTTGCACTTCGTCTGCATCAGTTTGTCACCTTGAGGAAAACAATGATGACCAATAATAAAAGTCAACAAAGGAAGAAATTATTGACGCGGGACAAGATTATGGGTCGAGCAATTAGCGGTTAAATGTGTCAGCTTGTTTTGTCAGCACTCCTTAATGTCATCATTGAGTGATTAGCACAAAGGGAGCGGCTAATTTCTTGTGGTGTTATTCGGTGTTCATGAGAAATGCACTGCGTGACTTTTGAAAACGAATTTTAAAATGTTCATATTAATGAAAAAACACACGCAGTAAGGCGTAGGTTGTGTTTTCATGTTTTGTTTAAATTCGTTGTATCCGGAGTGCACTGTAACATGTAAATTATTACTTGAACCTGAACCTTTTTTACTTTTCTTAAAATCTTAGTACATTTTTCTCAAGTTTGATTTTATTAAAATACTTTGGCTCATCTGGAGGCATGCTGCTTTAAAATGAAAAATGATTTGTCTATATTGTAAAGACGGACCAGTCCATTTTAGATATTAAGTGGGGTAAGGGTTGAAAAAGTGCATTTACCCAGTAAAGGTTGAAAAAAGTGCATATACCGAGTAAAGGTTGAAAAAAGTGCATTTAGCGGGACAACAGTTTAAAAAAAAGTGCATTTAGCGGGTCAACGGTTTAAAAAAGTGCATTTAGTGGGGCAATAGGTTTAAAGAAAGATGCAAAAAGGAAACTATAAGTGTGAACTATATGTTAGTACGGTTAAACCACTACCTGGTATTATACCTCATAGCTACCCCTCCATTCTGTACGTTCATCTCTGCCATACGATCATCTAGATCTTCTGTACTCCCTGAAATCATTTCAATTACATGTTTATATATATATAATTACAATTCAATACTTCTAATGTAAAAGAGTAAAGAATATTGTATTTGCCGCACCATGTTTTATTTTTACGTTCCCCTCACGTTTATATTGTTACGTCATTGTTATACTTGTTATGATTATATTATACATTACTGTCTGAAGATATGTACAAGCATTGAAAGCGCTAACAGAAAAAAATGTATAAAAATTTAACAAACTTTATATTCTGCATTTCCCAAAACCTACTTTTTTATATATATTATTACATATAAAAAAAAAGTTTCTGGGAAATGCAGAAAATAAATAATGTTCACTTTTTATAAATTTATTTCTGTTAGTGCTTTCAATGTTGTACACTTTCAGTTCTTCAGACAGTATCATATTTTAAATGTTGTACTAATATTTTCGGACAGCAGTCATCGAATTAGGCACCAGCCCGGTAGCCAATGGCCAGTGAAAATTAGTTCGGGCCAGTGAAAATTTTAAGAAAATTAAGTTAAATATATAGTAGAATAAATTCAAAACTGGGATTCGGGCTAGTAAATTCAAAATCTTAAATTCATTGACTGGGACAGCATTATTATTATATTTATTATAGATCTACTACGATCAATATCATCTATAATCATTGTAGTGGTGACATTGCCAAGGTGACATTGCCGAGGGTAGTGGCACTGTGGCAGCATGGGTGAGTGTAGTGGCAGCATGGACAGGTGGTTCACAGGCCGGCTTCGTTATCTAAGGATCACTTTCTGAGTGAGTTCAAACACCATCACAGGCAAGAAACAAAATTTCTGTCATATATTCTACTGTGAATTCACTTAATTTTCTGGGCATGAAATATCACGGTCCTGTCAAAATAAGACATTTATGTGGGTTCTTAAATTCTCAGATTGTCTGTTATTGCCAAAAAAGTAAAATGCAAATTATGTATTAAAACTAATGTACATGTTCAGCAGACAAAATAATAGTAGATATATAGCTTATGATAAATACTGCAAAACCAGTCATTAATGGCAATTATAGCATAAAATCGGCTATTTTTCCTTCTTTTGCCCACGTTATAAAGGGGCCAAAACCATGCTTTAACATAGTCACGTGCTCTTGTTATAGCCCGGTTTTACTTTGTGCAACACATACAGGGCCCAGTAAACAAACAAACAAATGACGATTTGGCCTTTTTCAGGGCTCACGCTGTCGGTCGCCATAGTCGCCATTTGCGATTATTTTATAAGATTGGCGATTATTTTTGCATTTTGGCTACAAAATCTGGCGATTATTTTTTACTTCCAACAGTGTTTACATAAGGTGTAAAAATCGATAATGACTGCAGTAGACCCAATTAACACCAGCGGGGTAGATATAATTGAGTGTCAACTTTTTATCGGTCACGTGTTGCTTACTATTGCCCGAGGTGATAAAAATACATGCAGGTGATAAAAATACATGCGATATGTAAAATTGTTTAAGTACTTTAAAGATATTGTCCAGCATTATAATAGCCATCAAATATCCGTCAATTAGCCACAAAATAATCTTCTTAAAATTGATAAACTGGATATTGACCAACACAAAATTTACCGTAAATTGCAGTAATGGCAAATTTTGATTTTTTTGTTTTAAGCTGCTTGACTAAATCGCCAGTGGAAAACATTGATAAAATATTTAAAAAGTATTTACTTCCAACCAACTATTTGCACCACAACCAAAATTGTGAATATTTCTTCAGAAAACAGAAAAAAATCCGATTGTCACATATTTTCGCGACACCGATAATTTTGATATTTATTTAAAGGTGAAAATAAGCTATGTTCTATTTAAAAATCTTTAGTATTATGGCAGAAAATTTGTATTACATTGGTGATGATGACATTTGTCAGTAAGTTATTCAGAAAAAAGGCTGCATTCTGTGAATGAGTTTGCAAGTGTTAATTATTTCTATAGGCTAATATGACCTAGATCTACTCCAGTTCTGTGTGAAATGTGGAAATTGACAGTGGTTATAGCTGATAAAATTGATTAGAACAAACAAAAGAAATTGTCTGATAACAGCATTATATAAAGTTATAATGAATCTTTTATTTTATTCTTATACAGTTATTATACTATATAACATTTTTATTTTGTTCTATAATAACAATTAAAGTTGTGGTTCTATGTAAAAAAAAGGTAGTTATCAATATACACAAATGTATCAGTTTATTTGAGAATCTTTATAAAACTGAAAAAGTTTTATATGTAATGTTTATTTAATCAACTGCTTATGTTGTTGATCGCTAAATCGTGAATAGTCCGCTGAACCTTTGGCTATTATTTTTTTAAGTAGAAAATATTGGCTATTATTTTATTTGAGCCAGTGTGAGCCCTGCTTTTTGCCAAAGAGTTATATTGAAATTATTAATTCGAGGGCCTCAATCTCATAACAGTGCGCAGCATTAAAGTAACTATGCCAGAAATTCGGCGTAAAGACATCGCCGCTTATCTTAGTTGTCGCCCTTTCTATGAAACGGACAGTTGTTAATGTAAACAAATATCTGTCATTCAGTTTAACCCTCCAATTAACTTACAAAACAAGATAACACTAATGAATATTAGAAAATGATGTTTTATTGATATTTATATTGATAAATGCTCTTTATATTTCTTTGAGAGAATAATGTTTAGTGCCTGATTTTTTTATTAACTTGTGTGCTTGAAAAAAAAAAGATTCTGATGTCACTGATTTTTTTTCTACCGTCAATCTGAAATCATTTTAGAAATTTCTGAGGGTCACGTTTTGTCTTGGGTAGATAAATTTAGTGTTTTTTTCTTGAGTTAATAAATCGCTAATGTTAAGTTTAAAAGTTAGTTAAATAAAATCAAAATTCGAAATTTCTTTCAGTTCTGAGCATTTGTATTTCCAAAGTTGTTGGCCCCGGTGAAATAAAACGCATACGTAAAACATGTTGAATTGGATAAATACCGTCCAAGCACAAGGATATAATGTATGTGTTTTGTATTTAATATACATCATGAATCTATTTTAAAATTCTATACTATAAAAGCGTCAATGCATGTTTATTTCGTGTTATAACGTCTGCAGAGTGCCTCAGAACAGTTGGAGCCCTCGCCCTACCAGGCTCGGGCACCAACTGTTCCTCTGGACTCTGCAGATGTTATAACACGAAAAAACGTGTGTAAACCCTATAATAACATGTAAATAATATTACTTTGATCTTTGGATATTGTTTTACTTTTCGTAAAATCTTAGTACATTGTTACTAACTAAGTTCAATTTTCTTGAAATATTTTTTACTCATCTGGAGGCATGCACCTTTAAATCATATATTCATATTTTCATGCTTATATTAAAAATCCAATAGCTAAGAAAATAACTTTAGTTTGGCTTACTTGCTACTACATGTAATTAGACCATCAGTGTTTTTTTGTTGTTGTTGTTTTTTCAACATCCTTACCTCTAACATTCAGCCTCGCCTCTTCGGTCCTCTGAGCCTGTGTTTTCTCTATCTTTTCTCGTTCCTTTTTTAATTTTTGCAACTTTTTCTTTTCTAAGTGTCTTTCGTATTTCTGTTTTTCTTTCTCTTGGATAGCCTTGGCATATTCCTTATAAATATGGGAAAAAATACATAATAACAGGTGATAGCAATTATACATTGTGAAACCCTTTACCTTGATTATTCTTTATGATGAAATTGTCTCCTATTTTTGATTTTCGATCAGTCTATTAGTTATTAAGAGAGGGGTCAGTGTCGAGACATTAAAATATGTTAAAAATTGTGATATTGGCATATTTCACTCCAGATCATGGCAGTAAGGCACATTGAATTTACCAGAGCACAGTTCAGCCACCGCATCGTTCCTAGGCATGCTGTCACGCAGTTTACCAGTAGTAGTACTTCTGTACATGCCAGAGTAGAGGTACAGTGTCAAATATGAAAATAGCCATATATTATATATATTAATTTTAGTTATTTCTTTTAGAATGTAATATGCAAGAAAAGGAATCTAACACTCGCTGTCTTTACAGACAGTAATATCTAGCTCTCAGGTAAATATAAAGTGAAAACTCAGCAGAGCCTCGTTACTGCCGTAAAGAGTTATCCTTGAACTAGATATAAATATAAAAAAAATCATATTTTGTCCATTGTATTGTATAAATGATTGACCCAAAAATGGCTGCCGCTTTTGGCAAGGGAGGTAAATATTGTAAAATCGGGAACTATCTATGGCAGGACTGGAACACAGAGAACTGGGATACAAGTTATTTGAGGTCAATGACCTTTAATTTTTTCCAATGGAGGTCCCCAAAACCTTTATCAAGTAATTGCATACCTCATCAGTTAGTTCCCTTGCCATTTTCCGTGCCTCATTCTGTAACTGGTCCTGCTCCATCAACTCTTTGGCAATATGCTGATAAATAAAAATTAACAATTTTAATTTAGATAAGTATATTTTAGCTTGTGATAAAAATAGAATCTAATCCACTTTCAAAAACATAACAGCAGTCATTGATTGGCTGATTTAAAAGTCAGAAGACGGTAACCTTCTATTGGTGATAGGCAGATCTTTCAGCTTGGCCCATTTTAGGAGCTGAATTTTATCAAAACTGACTAGGACAATGTGTTCTTTTGTGTTAATCAGGCCACCCAGTGACTATGGGCAGGTACTCGAGGAACAGATATACTTATCTGAATGGAAAATGCATGTAAGGTATTTTTTCTTGGATATTCTACCATATTTTATCATATTTTAAATTCTTTTCCTCAATAATTTTTTTTTTTTTCACGGACACCAATGTCAAGAAATTATTGTCTTACTTAAGTATATATATGAATTTACAACTTTATTCATAAAAGCAAAATGACATCATTCTAAGCATGCAGTTCCATTCTAAAATATGCAGAAATGATGTCATTTTTACACGGTTCATTCATTTAAAAAAAAAATTTGGTTGGGTTTTCAGTTGAACCAACACAGTATAGGTCATATTCAGACTTTTCAGCTTTACAGAAAGAGGAAGACCTTAGGTGCTCTTTCGTGCATTATTTTAGGAACAAACAGGCATCTAATGAAAGAATCCAATGTCCCTGTCAGGATTCGAACCCACAGCTATGAGGAGTTGAAGTGGTTTGAAGTCTATGACCATAACCTCCCGGCCACAGCTGCCAGGTTCATTCATAAATTGTGCTAAAATGACGCCATTGTGTAGCATGCGACTCATTTGTCACCCCATACCAGATAATATTTCCAGCACAGGAAAACTAATGGAAACACCAGTTTGATATGCAAGAAAAACCAGTCTGATATGCAAGAAATACCAGTCTTATATGCAAGAAATACCAGTCTGATATGCAAGAAATACCAGTGAAACAATTAGATTCCAAGCCAGCCAATCTGCATTACTGTAAACACAAAAGAATTCATTCCTTAAATTGGTTTTAATTATATACATGATAACATTGAACAATGTCGTAATATATTTTATGTTTCACCTCATCTGTGAGTTCAATAGCCATTTTACTGGCCTGATTCTGTAACTGTTCTTGTTCCATTAATTTCTTGGCAACTTTTTCATCTTCCTCGGCCCTGAAATCAAGTTATCACATCATTCAATAATTCTGTTATGTTAAAAATATTAGTTATATTACGTAATATCCTCAAATGAACAAAGAAACAAGAGCTGTCTGTAATAAAGACAGTGAGCTTGACTATTCTCAGTGATTGACAGTAAGAAAAAGGGGCATAACTCAGAGTTATAGGACCTGTACCCTTTATTAAGATCATTTAACCACAGAAAACAAATGTTTCAAGTTTCAACCCATTCCCTTATGTAGTATTGGAGCTACCAACTTGTATGTAAAAACTTAAGCAAAGAGTTTGTCCAGGAATGAGAACAATATGTCACCTTGGTGGAATAACTGGTTAACTCCTATTAACCCTTTCCCCCATGAGCATATTGTGGAAAATGGCCGTTTTCACTGAAAAGCCTCCTGTTACAAGTTCAAACTGCTATGAAACTATGAAAAATGCTTCAATACTAATCAAACTTGGCACAAATGTTGACTGGACCATTGCCTTTGTAACGACATGCTCAGTCTTAAATTTCCTGTTACCATGGCAACGAGGGGGCATCTCAAAATTGCCAAAAATCACTATTTTGCCTCGATTTTTTCCATCAAAATTTATTTCAAAGTGCTGCAACTTCTCAAGGGATTGAGATAGAGTCAAAGGCTTTTCAGCGTTGGTTACACGTTACATTATAATCGACCTGGGGTCATTTTTAGCCTCTCACAAGTCCAAAATTTTCTTGGCGATGAGGGGGACTCCGCCCCCCTTCAAACCCCCCTAACAGAAGGGGGCACATCCCCCTTCTGGCAACCCCCTGATGTATCTTTTGGATGGGGGGCGGCGCCGAAAAAGTGCTCAATTTTTTTAGCAACATTTCTCAAAGGAAAACATGTGTTTGGGGCCCAAATAGGACATTTTTTCACTCCCTGAGGCCTAAAAAAAAGGGGGGGGTCGAAAGTGCGTTGTTTCGCGTATATATGAGGTAAAGGGTTAACAAAAAAAGATGAAAAACTTTGAAATCACCTAAAAACTAGTTTTTCAATGTTAATATGTGGTCTTTCACCTAATTTTGGTGAAAAATTGTTGTTTTGTAACTTTTTTTTTTTTTAGTTAACCCTTTCCCCCATGAGCATATTGTGAAAAATGGCCGTTTTCACTGAAAAGCCTCCTGTTACAAGTTCAAACTGCTATGAAACTATGAAAAATGCTTCAATACTAATCAAACTTGGCACAAATGTTGACTGGACCATTGCCTTTGTAACGACATGCTCAGTCTTAAATTTCCTGTTACCATGGCAACGAGGGGGCATCTCAAAATTGCCAAAAATCACTATTTTGCCTCGATTTTTTCCATCAAAATTTATTTCAAAGTGCTGCAACTTCTCAAGGGATTGAGATAGAGTCAAAGGCTTTTCAGCGTTTGTTACACGTTACATTATAATCTGCCTGTGGTCATTTTTAGCCTCTCACAAGTCCAAAATTTTCTTAGCGATGAGGGGGACTCCGCCCCCTTCAAACTCCCCTAACAGAAGGGGGCACATCCCCCTTCTGGCAACTCCCTGATTTACTTTGGGATAAGGGCGGCGCCAAAAAAGTGCTCAATTTTTTTAACAACATTTCTCAAACGAAAACATGTGTTTGGGGCCCAAATAGGGCATTTTTCCACTATTCGAGGCCTTAAAAAGGATGGGGGGGTCGAAAGTGCGTTGTTTCGCGTAAATATGGAGTAAAGGGTTAAACAGCTACTAATAAATAGCATTTATTTTACTACAAAACTATCAACCTTCAGTACACCTCTTTTTTTTCCCCAAGAACAAATCTCCCCAAATTACTTTTCCAACTTCTACAAATACAAATAAAATTCATAATGTACATACTGCACTCTGAGGGCCTGTAACTCCTGGAATCTTTCATTTTGAAGCCGCAATTCCTCGTCAGACTGTACAACTTTAGCTAATGGAATGTCTTCACGTACAGTCCGTCGATTAAAACGGTTCAAACCATAATGACGATCAACTAAAAAACAAACATAAACATTATTTGAGCCGCATCATGGCAAAACCAACATAATGAGTTTGCGACCAGCATGGATCCAGATCAGCCTGCGCATCCGCGCAGTCTAATCAGGATCCATGCTGTTTGCTATCACTTTCTCTACTTGTAATAGGGTTTGTAAGCAAACAGCATGGATCCTGATCAGACCGCTACTGCGCAGGCTGGTCTGGATCCATGCTGGTCGCAAACCCATTATGTTGGATTTGTCGTGACGTAGCTCTTTTCTAATTTTACATGAAGAGTACAAGAAAGAGAAAAAAAAATTTTTTTCAATTTTTACATTTACATATTTCTCCACACACATGTACACCAAAATAACAAAAGTGTAATAAACGGTTCTAAACATTTTGTCAAGGTTGGTATTTAATAAAAGAAAATAATAAAGCATTCAGTTTTAATACAAATGAAAATAAGACAATTAAGATATCAATAAACTGTTAACAAAGATTAGTCCAACAACATTTGTTTTGTCATTGACTTGTTGAACAAATTTTGAAAATAAAACACAATGCCTTCTCAACATGACCACTTTATAGTTTTAGTCTGCATCATATTCATACAGAAATAGAAAGATCAGACTGATAGCATGGGGAGGGGCAAAAACACTCCACTCAATACAATTTTGTTCTGGCAAGACCTGCCACCGCAGTAAAACCAGCCATCTTCCCTAGATTGATATCTTATATTCTCCCACACAAGAAAGTATCAAGAGTCAGGCTTATTTGGTGAGGCTGGAATGCACAGCGGTGGGTCAGCCATTGACATAGTTAGATTGTGAAAAACAAAGGCAAACAGTAAAACATACTTTCTTCATTCTGCAGTTGATGAGCAAATGCCCCATCCTCGTACACTGCCCACTCTTGTCGTACTGAAAATACAGAAACCATATTGTTACCTATTTGTCTATGTCATGTAACAAAAAATAATTAACACAGTAAATAACATGAATGAGTTCTTCTGTAATACCATTAAACAACAAAATTTCATTGAATCATAGACTATGCATAAAAAGTGTTATATTGGTAATAATCGATGAAAAACAGTCTATCTTACATGGACAGTGCGTGAACAAAGAAAAATATATAACTATATTATTGTAACTGCTGCATCAAATGACAATATAGGTTAAACTAAAATCAGTGGAGCCTTAGAACTAAGGTCACATCATTTCACATCATTTCAATCAGAATTGACTTCTAACTTTGCTTTAAAATTACTACAAAATACTTTTTAATCAAAAGCTCAGCAATTTAATCGCACAAAAAAAGTTGTGCATTAAAGGCCAGCCTTAAAATTATCTTAATTGTTTCACCTCTCGCAATAATGTCAATTTGGGCAGGTAGGTACGTTTTTGTAATGAAAAATTATTGTAGAAATATCATTATTGACCATAATTATATTTTTATATCTGAATCATATGGGCTTTGATATTTAATGTTGAGAAAGCTTTATAGCATATTTATAAAGTTTAGAACTATTTAGTTTTATTCAACATATAACCCAGATTTGAAGATATGATTCTAATTGAATGACTGACAGCCTCCGTGTTTATTAAAGGGGAAAAAAATCATTATATTGGCAATAACATTTTTCGGGGTTACTAAGGTAGCGGTAGAGGAAACAATATTTTATTTAACGCCTAAATGCTGCAAGAATTGGTATATACTTCAGATAGTTTACATCATAAAAAATACTGTTATTAAAGTATCATACTAGTTCATAGGGCTTGAGGGCATTTATTAATCACAATATTATGGTTAAACTTTGAAAGTGTATTGGCTTATATTAAAACATCATTGATAAATCCCATTCAAAATCATGGGATTCAATTCAACAACACATTACATTTGAATTCAGAAATAGATTTAATGAAATGTACGTCAAAGCTAACCATGCAAGTATCTAGATTCTTGCAATGCATTTTTATGAATATTAACTAATATTAATTTTATGAAATTCTGTTAGTAAAAAATACTTCTAACATACAAATATAGTGATTGAATTACTTATAAACACAGTCATATTTGAATTTATATATATCTTTAATGCATAAAGATCTGATGTATGCAGAAATACACAAATTATTTTATTGTATTATTATTAAAGATATAAACATTTTTCTTCAGTTCATTTGTAATCATTTGTGATCATTTGTAATAATGTAATTGTTTAATGATATGGAAGTATATACAAATATAACCCTTTTACAGTACATATATAAAGAAGCAATTGTTGGAAGAATAAAATGTACTTCCGTATCATTATGAACACAGCTAGAACATGCTCAACATAACAACATGTTCATGTCATGTCAACTACAACATTCACTTAATAATTAACAAGAGTGTTTAACCACAATGTTACAAGTTAGAAGCCTGTTATTATACATGTAAATTGGTATGTTATAAGTGCCATAGGGGATAAATTACTATACAAGAGAATGTACATTGTAACTGACTCTTAATTGCCAATGAAACAAAACAAAAAAAATGACTCAAGAGTTTAGTTTTAGCCATTTCCCCTTCTGTTTTGTATACTTAGGATATTTTGTTATGCTAAAGGCTGTTGTTGTTTTCAAAGATTGTGTGGCCACTTCAAATAAACACACACTGTTGCCAATTTGAGAAGGCATTTGACCAAGATTAATTATGTGGTCACTTCAACAAACACATTTTGCTAACTACACATGTAGATCTACATTTGTACAAGTATATGATAATGAACTAGAAATGTGTCATCATGCCATGGATGCCCCCGCATGCAGCCAAAATTTCAGATGTTATAATAATTAGTTCCAAATTTGTTTGCACAAATTATTGTTTTCATTTTAAGTTCAAAGCCCTTAAAACTTTTCAATGTTAACACAAACCATTTTCATAAAATATTCAAGGCACTGAAATTATTCAGTCTTTACCTTTTGAAAATAGCATATTTCATATTTGTAGCCAAAATAATGGCTACATACATTTCCACAAAAGTATGAGTGCTGAAACTGAAAGTTCAAAATTTTTCAAATATTCAAGAAAGATAAGTTTGTCCAAAATCATTGAACCACGACCAAATTCAAACTAAAACTGCTTACTCCTAAGATGTATCTATATTATTTTCAAAGTGAAAGGGGCATAACTCTGCCAAAAAATCATCGAACCATGACCAAATTCCAACTTGACCTGCCCATACCTTTGACATATCCATATGTCAAATTTGAGTTGAATATGTAACACTGTTGGGTAGATAATGAACAGAAACTGTGAATTTCATATTATTTTCAAAGTAAAAGGGACATAGCTCTGCCAAAAATCGTCGAACCATGACCAAATTCGAACTTGACCTGTATTTTGTCATGACATATCCATATGTCAAATTTGAGTTGAATGTGTTGTACCGTTGGGGAGATAATGAACGGAAACTGAAAATTTCATATTATTTTCAAAGTAAAAGGGGCATAACTCTGCCAAAAATCGTCGAACCATGACCAAATTCGAACTTGACCTGTATTTTGTCATGACATATCCATATGTCAAATTTGAGTTGAATGTGTTGTACCGTTGGGGAGATAATGAACGGAAACTGAAAATTTCATATTATTTTCAAAGTAAAAGGGGCATAACTCTGCCAAAAATCGTCGAACCATGACCAAATTCGAACTTGACCTGTATTTTGTCATGACATCCATATGTCAAATTTGATTTGAATGTGTTGTACTGTTTGGGAGATAATGAACGGAAACTGAAAATTTCATATTATTTTCAAAGTAAAAGGGGCATAACTCTGCCAAAAATCATCGAACCATGACCAAATTCGAACTTGACCTGTATTTTCTCATGACATATCCATATGTCAAATTTGAGTTGAATATGTACAACCGTTACTTAGATAATGAACGGAAACTGATGATGACGGAATGACAGAATGACGGAATGACAGAATGACGGAAGGACGGAACAGGGTAACACTATATGCCCCAGCCATTACATGGCGGGGGCATAATAATAAACAGCAAAATTGTCTTAGAAGTCATAGGGTGAAGGTCAAGATCATAATTATGACCTCCAAATACTCAATATTAATCATAGCCATTAAATGGAAGATCTTCCAAACAAACTGAGCCCTCCCTGTTTATCAATCTGTGAGCAAAAAATTCATGTCCATGTTTGTTAGTTTCAACCATTAAATAACTTGAACCATTTCAAATTCACAAGTCAGACCAGTTTCTTATATTGTTGCTAGAAAATAATAATGATGTCACGCATTGAGGGCTTTTAAACAAAATTAAAATATTAGATACTATAAAATGCAATTAAAATGTGCACATAAGCAAGATTAAATAAGCTCTTAATCAATCTGATACCCATATCTTTTATTATCATGATCTTCATGTATTAACAATCAACTACAATATTATTAAGATCTGAATAAACAGTAACTGTTTAACTGAGATACTAAATTGAACAAGACATGGACATTTTATATTACAAAGTTAATCTTTATTTCTGTATATAATATATATACACTTATTTCAAATATTACATGTAGTTATTTGATGCCATGGAAACAATAGAATTTTTTTCTCTCTATTAATTTCTTTCATGACTCTAAATGATCTAAAGAAATTTGAATCATATGATGATAATACCCGTTGCAGGAAAGTTATTTTCATACTTATCATATTCCACATAAGCCTTAAGGTATGGATATTTCACAATCTAGCATGATCATTGGCTATTAGTTTTTTATGAACAGAACAGCCATTTCATTTAGACTTGCGCATAGTACATCTACATAGTCATGCAAATAGATACACAAAACAATTGTAACGTCACATGGTCATGATAACACAAAATACAATATGATACTTCATCAGGTAATAGATAATAAGATATTATATTAGATGATATTTTCTCAAACATGACAGTACTAGAAATCCTACTGGCAACCTCACAGGATATTGTATACCATATTTTACCCAATGAGTCTTAAATCATCAACTCCCTCCCAATAAGGGCGAAGGATAGGTGTTAACCAGCAGCAAGACTATAATACATATATGTACTTATTTTACAGTTTACGGATATGATAGTATGATAGTACATGTATGAAAAAATCAAAAGCAAAATTCACACCTCAAAGCTGAATCACAACCAAATCATTTACACATCAAACAATCACTACTACTACTAAAAACACTCACAACCAATATTTAGACCCTTTATAAACAATCACAACAAATAGAACACCTCAAAACAATCACTTCTACTAATAATAATTTTACACTTCAAAACAGTCACAACCAATATTTAGATCCTTTATAAACAAAAAGACCAATTATAAGTACATTTCAAAACAATCACTTACTACAATCACTACTACTTGTGATAATTTTACACCTCAAAACAGTCACAGCCAATATTTACACATCAAAAAAGTTACAACCAATGTAACATTTATTGTTTGGCATTATACTGATCTGAGACATTTGAATATTCAATGACCTTTTGTCAGTAATTGTCAGATTCTGAAGTAAATCATATAGACATAACAGTCTACATGGTTTATGTATAAATTCAACTTACCAACACAACACTTGTTAAACTAGCCTCAGTGATAAAGCTACAGTCTCACTTACATCCCGACAGAGCCCCGGTAGACGTCCGGGGTGATCCGGGAACGACCGGGGTACATCCGTAACTCTGCCGGCAACGTCCTGGATGATCCGGGATGATCCAGGAACATCCGGCATTCGACCCCGGATGGAATAAAATATTTAATATCACCGGGGTGGTCCGGGATGATCCGGGAAGGTATAGCTTTGCCGGCATCATCCTTAGCTCTGCCGGGAACGACCGGGGTGATACCGGGAAAGCACCG